AACGCCGTGCTCTGCCACAGGCCGCAGCCCGGCAGAGCTATTGATGGGGCGACGCCTAGCGTCCTTGCTGGATAGGCTGCATCCAGATCTCAACGACTTGAGGCCCCAGCAGCAGAGTGTTTCCACTAAGGTCCGCACATACGAATGCGGAGATACTGTATTTGCAAAGAACTATGCTGGGGGACATTCGTGGCTTCCAGCCACGGTTACCGAGGTAGTAGGTTCGCGCATGTACGTTGTCCAGCTTGCGGACGGGCGCAAGTGGAGGCGACACACTGACCAGTTGAGGCAGCGGTGGGCGACTGGCCGCCCCACCTCGCAGCCAACTGAGCTACCTGATCCTGAGGACCTTCCACAACCTCTTCCTGAGGTAAGTGCCGACGTGCCCGAGGGCCCCGGTACTGTCGGCGAGTCAGGGCAGACCCCTACTCAAAGACCCATTGCTAGTGGTGGAAGTGCTCCTGACTCCGAGGTCCCAGAGTCGTACAATACTCCCCAGAATGAAAGGTGCCCTGAGCCTGTACAGCTACGCAGGTCTCAGAGATCGCGCAGAGCGCCAATGTACCTAAGCGATTATGATTGTACATAGTGTTTTTGCTTAGGGGGGAGGGATTTGTTATGTATTAAGATGTATATAACTGCCTTGTGAACTGTGCCATTGAGAGTCAATGTTAAGCTTCGCCCTGGGCTAGGATCCTAATGTAACCAATAGGAGCCCTAGCCCAGAATATGTTTGCCAATCACCGTGCAGAGCGGGATCGCTTGTGATTGGTCCTTATTGCTTCAACCTCATAGGTTGCGTTATTGTACAGTGGGTGTGGCTACATTAGCCGGGAATGTTTAAATACAGAGCAGCCAGTGTATGTCTTGGTTCTGATGATGGGTTCTGGCTGGCGATTGTTGTTCCGTGACGGAGAAGTAACTGAGCTGAGGAATAAACCGCATTCTTGCTGAAATCACTCTCCGACTCTTTGTTAAGCGCACGACTTAACAGTTTCCAATTCCAGGACACTTCTTTAAGCTCAGCCGGCAGCATGAGACCCACTGGCATGTGACAGGAAGGGGAGGAACCCGACTCTTTAAGTCTGCCTGTGCCAAAACAAAACCTTCTTCAATACTGAATGGTGTTGCCTCAGCATTCGGCTCCTGATATCTGCAGGCTTGAAAAGAGAGGCTGTAGGCATGGTGTCCTTCATCTCTACACTTACGCAACAGCAGCAGATTTTCCCATAGTGTAGCTCAAAGGGCAGTTCTAGAGGAGTTCATGACGGAGTAGGTAAGGCTCTGTGACTCATATGATGAAGACAACCACACTATTGCATGGAATCACACATATGATCTACGCATCCAGCAGTCCCTGTAAAGTACACAGTGACGACCTGCTTTATAGATATTCTAATTTTAGCAATTATCTAGAGAATAAGCCCTCACTTGAGTACCAACAACATAATTACATGGCAACAAAATGAGGTGCAACAGGAGCATCTAGTTGTAAAGATCAGCTTGTCGTTGAAGTTGCAACCTTGAAGAATGAACAAAGTGGGGGGAAAATGTAATCTCTCCATGGTTTATCTTCATGACTGGAAGGTCTTTGATGTATAGTACTTAAGATCTATTTAGAGAGCTGAGGGACTACAAAGTGAATTCCAGTTTCAACACCAGTGTCCAAACGGAACACCAACTATAAAACAAAACAACTTGAACAACGATCAAAAGTGTCCTTGATCATGAATACAGAGTAAAGAGCATAAAGGAACCAGACTGAATCGAATGTCCATCTAATCCAGCATCCTGTTAACCACATGATTCTTGTTAAATGAAATGCAAAGAGCTGTCATTCCTGCAAATTTGCCATAAAACCAGGAAATACCTACACCGCGATTGCTACTCCTTACAAAACAATGGCTTGGGATTAGGGTTGCCAGGTCCCCACCGGCAGGGGAGTGGGGAGGTAGGGTTGCCTGATCCAGGTTGGGGAACTCCTGGAGATTTGAGGGTGGAGCCTGGGGAGGACAGGGACCTCGGTGGGGCACAATGCCATAGAGTTGACCCTCCAAAGTATCCGTTTTCTTCAGGGGAACTGATTTCTGTAGTCTGAAGATGAGCTGTAATTCCGGGGGATCCCCACGTCCCACCGGGAGGCTGGCATCCCTGCTTGGGATATCAGATCCATGTCTAAGTAAGCATAGAGACTTTTGAGAACAAAGAGGAGGAGGATTATCTAGAACATCTGAATCCAAGTTGACCAGCACTTAACCCTTGAAGCTGCTTTCAGAGCCAGGGCTCCACTCTGGAGAATACAAGGCAAGCAAGTAAATATTACCTCTGGCTGCTGGCTAGAATGTGAATAGCAAGCTGTGGACGGAAGGCAAAAGATCATCCTTCATCTGCAGGACAAGAGAATCTGGAGCACAGAATTTTTTACAAAGATGACACTGCAAAATGCAGATGAGAGGGAACTTTATCAAATAGATAAATCAGAAACTGCATTTTGTTTATAGAAAACACAGGGATACAAATGTTCATGATTCTGTAACATCATTTGTGTTGTTTTCTCTGATAGAAAACCAGTTAAAAAAATTTAAATTACCTTTAGACAACCAAGAAGAGAAGTCTTCGTAAACATGAAACAATTTGGCTATTTTTAAAATTTCTTTCTAAAATGAAATCTGGCACAAACGACTAACAAAGTCAAACTTTACAAGGGCTAACAACTGTTGAGGACTTTTTGGCAAGCTGATGTAAGGAAATGACTGTGAGCCAACCCTCCCCTAACAGATAAGTAACTCTAACAAACCTAGATCCAGGTGGGCAGCCCTGTGGGTCTGAAGCAGTAGAACAAATTTAGAATCCAGTGGCACCCTTAAGACCAACAAAGGTTTATTCAAGGTGTGAGCTTTCGTATGCATGCAAGCTCATACCTTGAATAAACCTTTGTTGGTCTTAAGGGTGCCACTGAATTCTAAATTTGTTCTAACAAACCTAGATATGGAGAACAGCATTTCCAGGTGACGGAACTTAGTATCAAGGCAAACCTGAGGCCTGACAGGCGACTCTTTGGAACCAAGCCCTGATCGCAGTAATGAGATCAGTTAGAATCATAGAGTTGGAAGGGACCCCCAGGGTCATCTAGTCCAACCCCCTGCACAAGGCAGGAAATTCACAAGTACCTCCCCTTTTAATGAAGCAGTCAGGGAAGAGGAATGAAAATACTCATTCTTCATGTGTTAGTCATTTATTCAGCTTTACCAGAAGGTGTTAGTCCCAAACAAATGGTTTTTATATTGATAGGATTCATCAAGAAATAAAAATCAACTTTTAATGCAGGTTAAAAAGATCTGTCTCCTAATGCTAGTTCTTCGGAGCCTCTTTGTTTTCGTCCCCCGTGAGAAAGGCTGCCTCTGCAAACTGTCGTCTTTGAATTTGAGGGACATCAGGACTTGGCCACAGAAGAAGGACGGAACCGTCTGTGGCCATCTCTATCAACCTTTTCAAATACATAACCAGGTGGCTCTTTGAAAGCAGCAGGGCACATGACAGGTTTCTTTGGGGTATAGCTTGTGGCATAGGTGGTTTCCTGGGAAAATGGGGCCTGTGGCTTAGGGCCAGGTGCACGGGGCCTGAAGCTTTTAGTGACAGAAAATGGGTGAGGCACATAATGGGTTTGAAAAGTGGTCAGTGTGTCCATGGGTTCAACTGGCAACGTGATAGTCGATTTAGGGAGAATGGCATTTGGTTTTGCGTAGTGCCAAGGCTGGTAATCATCTTTCATAGTGGATCTGTGGTCGAAAGGATCTGTACTTTTTTGAACACAGGTCAAAGGTTTACATGATGTTGCTGGCCGGCCATGAGGATTTCCATAATGAATCTGTGCAGATGTCTTGAGGTCCATCTTGATCTTGGGTGGTGTGTAGACTTCGCGTTTTCTGGTAAAGAAAGTAGCTGCTGGCCAAGTTTGAAACTTTTCCCGAAATTCAGTAGTACCAACAAAGGGATTGTCTTGCTCTGGCAATTTATACGGTGGCTTAAAAGATTTAGCAGGCTGTCCTGCCAGCCCTTTGTAAGACAGATTGTGTGTGGTGAGACCATCAAATGGGACATCACTGGGCTTGAATGGCACAGGTTCGTGAACATGGCGTTTTGCCAAAGGATGTGACACATAATTCAACTTGTAGTTTGTCATATCTTCCAAGGGAATCTTGGAGAGGTGGGGTGCCTGAAAAGGCTTGCAGCTCTTGGTAACAACTGGACCCTTGTAGGGATAAGCATCCTGGACAGTGGTCCGGTGATCAAATTTTACATCTGGGGGATGGTAAGTAGTATCTGGCTTAATCATGTCCCTTTTGGGCTGATTCCATGCCACGTAATCACCTAAAAAGTAAGAAGACCAACACAAGATGTAAATTGCATCTAACATTTGTTTATAAAAAGGCAGATACGTTTGCACATTCATATTCACTACTTCTACCTTACTTCTAACTAACACAGTTTAAACAAATGTGAACAGGAAGAATGAATGCAGCCATGGTTATTGGAGAGATGACAACCATCCGTTGTATATGGGAAATGTTGCAGTCATCAGCATTTATTTGTTTATTTATTCAATTTATACCCCATCCTCCCCGCTGAAGCAGGCTCAGAGTGGCTTACATAAAAAGATTAAGACACATAAATAACAATTATAAATCAATTGTAAAACAATCATAAAACAATCCAACTATCGTAAAGTACCAGTAACAGTAGGTCTAATGCTAATAGCATTGCTTAAAGATGGTGGAAACAAGCCTGACAGCATATCCAGATGGTCTGTATTGATGGTCAACTCGTCTTGATCTATTTATTTATGGGGCAGGTGCAGGCTGTTGATGGTTATACCAAGGATTATTTATGCAATATGATAATGGAATAATTATGGGATGAATTCAGAATAAGATCACTAAAAAACATATGTTTATTTATTCTAAATGTATTTTATTTTTACTTTTATTTTATATATCCTTCAGTTTTGGGAGCTGTAAAACATTATTTTCGTATCATGATAAAATTATAAACAAAACTTTTTTCCCCAAAAGCAGATATTTCCTAAGTACAGTAGGCAGAAGAAAGATATATGGAGGAAGTTGAGCTCTGGGAGACCAGCTGAGCTCTGAGCAGGAGCAGGAGAGAGAGCTGTGAGAGAGGTGAGTGGGTTTCTTTTACTTGCTTTCAGCTGAGAGAATTCAGCTAAGGATATTTTGTGGGAAAACTGTGTTTAGCAGTGTGTGGAAGCACTTAGAGTTCTTGCAGAGTCCTGGCTGATTGAGTGTGGGAGAGGAACGGGCATTGTTTGACTGGGATTGCCTGTAATTGAGAGGAAGTGGAAGGGGCATTGTTTTGCCTGTGATTGAGTGCCTGGGTGAATTTGAATTTGAATAGCTGCTGCCTGACCTCTGCTGGGGGAGGCCTCTATTTAAGGAAGCACCTTGGCAGAGGCACGAGCCTCTGGCACGAGCCGAAGGGTGAGCTAAAGGGCTCTTTGCCTGTGGCTCTTAGCCTAGGGACTCTTAGACTAGGGGCGCTGTAAGAAGCCCAAAAAGAGCCAGAAAGACAAGGCCCTAGGCTCTTTGTCTTTCCCGTAAAATAATTTGACTTGATAACAAAACCCACATAAATACCAAGGGTTTAAAAGGGGGATTATATTTATTTATTTTAAAAGAATTATGAAGCCAGAATGCCAGCAGGGGGTTGGGGGCTATCCAGTGTTTTGCACGGAGTGTCACATGTATGACTATCTGCCCACTGGGCAGAAGTCTTGGGTGTGTCCTCGGTGCAAGGAGCTCCTGGTTCTCAGGGAACGTGTGTGCTCCCTTGAGGCCAAGGTGGCTGACCTGGAGAAGCAGAGACAGTCAGCTAGGCACACAGAAAAGACTCTCGGGGACTTGTTAGCTTCGTCCCACTCTGGATCTGGCAGCCCCGCTGCTGTCAGGGAGCATGAGGGTCTAGGGGAAACAGGGCACCATGCTGAGGATAAGGGGAATGTGCCCTCAGAAGGGACCTCTTCCCCAGCTGGTGAGCGGCTCTCCTTTTGCACCAAGGAACCATCCCTGAGCAGGGTGGGAGGGGGGCTCTTGGTAGTGGGTGATTCGATCCTTAGGCAGGTAGACAGCTGGGTGGCGAACCCGCGTACTGACCGTATGGTGACTTGCCTGCCTGGTGCGAAGGTAGCGGACATTACGCGTGTTTTAGATAGGCTGGTAGATAGTGCTGGGGAGGAGCCAGTGGTCGTGGTGCATGTCGGCACCAACGATGTGGGGAAATGCAGTCGTGAGGTCCTGGAGGAGAAATTTAGGCTGCTGGGCAGGAAACTTAGGTCCAGGACCTCCAAGGTAGCCTTCTCAGAAGTGTTACCTGTTCCACGCGCAGGGCCGGAGAGACAGGCAGAGATCAGGAGTCTCAATGCGTGGATGAGACGATGGTGTAGGGGGGAAGGGTTCAGGTTTGTTAGGCACTGGGATACTTTTTGGAACAAGAGGGAGCTGTACAGGCGAGACGGTCTCCACTTGTCCCGAGAAGGAACCAGGCTGCTGGCACTTAAAATCAAAAAGGTGGCAGAGCAGCTTTTAAACTGAATATTGGGGGAAAGCCGACAGGAGATGAAAAGTCTCTGGTTCGGGTTGGCTCATCTGAGAGAGGTGAGGGGGTACCGGTTGCTTTTCTACAGGGAGGTGGATTGAAATTGTCCACAGAGGCCATGGCTGGTGACATGGACTGCCGGACAACGACTCGAGATAGCAAGAGGAAGGATGCAGGCTTAACTTGTAAGGGAAATTACAGCTGTTTCTATACAAATGCTAGAAGTGTCCGAGGTAAAATCGGGGAGTTGGAGTGCTTGGTGTCGGAGGGAAAAATAGACATTGTGGGTATTTCTGAAACTTGGTGGGATGAGGAAAATCAGTGGGACACAGTGATTCCCGGTTATATATTATATCGGAAGGATAGGGGGGGAAGGGTTGGAGGTGGGGTAGCTCTGTATGTCAGAGAGGGTATAAAGTCTAGAAAGATTGAGAGGCTAAGTGAATTGGATTCGCTTCTGGAAGTTCTATGGGTTGAAATAGGGGGGCCAAAAGGAAACTTAACACTGGGAGTTTGTTATCGCCCACCAGATCAAAAGATAGAGGAGGATTATAAAATGATGAATGCCTTAAAGATAGCAACTAGACAAAAACACTGTGTAATAATAGGTGATTTTAACTACCCACACATTGATTGGGTCAATATGTGTTCTAGTCGGGAAAAAGAGATTGAGTTTCTAGACACTCTAAATGACTGTGCTATGGAGCAGATGGTCACGGAACCTACCAGGGGAGAGGCGATCCTTGATTTGGTCCTAAGTAACACTCAAGACCTGGTGAGAGATGTAAAAGTGATTGCACCGCTTGGAAACAGTGATCATAATGTTGTTGAGTTCATCATTTGTACAAATAGAGAATTGGCCAAAAAGACTCACACAACCATTTTTAACTTTAAAAGGGGTAATTTCTCTGATATGAGGGGACACGTGGGGAGGAAACTGAAAGGAAAAGTAGAAAGGGTCAAAACAATTGGGGAAGCTTGGGATCTATTTAAAACTACGATCCTAGAAGCTCAAAAAATATATATTCCGCAGGTTAGGAAAGGCACAAACAGGTATAGGAAAAAGCCTGCATGGTTAACAAACAGAGTAATGGAGGCTGTAAAAAGTAAAAAGAATTCCTTTAAGCAGTGGAAAGCTAGTCACAGTGAGGCTGATAAAACGGAACACAGGCTATGGCAAATAAAATGCAAGTCTGAGGTCAGGCAGGCAAAAAGGGAATATGAGGAGCATATAGCAAAAAACGTAAAAACCAACAATAAAACTTTCTTCAAATACATTAGAAACAGGAAACCAGCCAGGGAGGCAGTGGGGCCCTTGGACGACCAAGGGGTAAAAGGAGTATTGAAGGATGATAGGGAAATGGCTGAGAAGCTAAATGCATTTTTTGCCTCCGTCTTCACTGTGGAAGATGAGAAGTGCTTGCCCACTCCAGAACCACTGATTTCAGGAGGGGTGTTGGAAGACCTGAGTCAGATTGAGGTGATGAGAGAGGAGGTCCTAAAACTGATAGACAACTTAAAAACTGAAAAATCACCAGGCCCAGATGGCATACATCCGAGAGTTCTGAAAGAACTCAAATGTGAACTTGTAGATCTCCTGACAAAGATATGTAATCTTTCCTTAAAATCTGCCTCCATTCCTGAGGATTGGAAGGTAGCTAATGTCACTCCCATCTTTAAAAAGGGTTCCAGAGGAGATCCGGGAAATTACAGGCCAGTCAGTCTGACGTCGATACCGGGTAAATTGGTGGAAACCATTATTAAGGAAAGAATTAGTAGGCACATAGATGAACAAAACCTATTGAGGCAGACTCAGCACGGTTTCTGTAAGGGAAGATCTTGTCTCACTAACCTGTTAGTGTTCTTTGAGGGGGTGAACAAACATGTGGACAAGGGGGATCCAATAGATATTATTTACCTTGACTTCCAGAAAGCTTTTGATAAAGTTCCTCATCAAAGGCTCCTAAGTAAGCTCAAAAATCATGGGATAGAAGGACAAGTCCTTTTATGGATCAAAAACTGGCTAGTTCATAGAAAACAGAGAGTGAGTGTAGGTGGGCAATTTTCTCAGTGGAGGGTGGTAAGCAGTGGGGTACCGCAGGGATCAGTACTTGGTCCACTGCTTTTTAACTTGTTCATTAATGATTTGGAGATGGGAGTAAGCAGTGAAGTGGCTAAATTTGCGGATGATACAAAGTTGTTCAGGGTGGTGAAAACCAGTGAGGATTGTGAGGCACTCCAAGGGGATCTGTCAAGGATGGGCGAGTGGGCGTCAACATGGCAAATGGGGTTCAATGTGGCCAAGTGCAAGGTGATGCACATTGGAGCCAAAAATCCTAAATATAAATACACATTGATGGGGTCTGAACTGGCAGAGACTGAGCAAGAGAGAGATCTTGGAGTTGTAGTGGATAACTCACTGAAAATGTCGAGACAGTGTGTGACTGCAATAAAGAAGGCCAATGCTATGCTGGGGATTATTAGGAAGGGTATTGAAAACAGATCAGCCAATATAATAATGCCCCTATATAAATCAATGGTGAGACCTCATTTGGAATACTGTGTGCAGTTCTGGGCACCACACCTTAAAAAGGATATTATAGCTTTGGAGAAAGTGCAGAAAAGGGCAACTCGAATGATAAAAGGGTTGGAACACTTTCCCTATGAGGAAAGGTTAAAGCGCTTAGGGCTCTTTAGCTTGGAGAAAAGACGACTGAGGGGTGACATGATCGAGGTTTATAAGATTATGCATGGGAAAG